TCCCTCCCTCCCTCCCTCCCTCCCTTCCTTCCTTCCTTCCTTCCTTTTTTTTTGAGATAGAGTCTTCATAACCCTGAACTCACTCTGTAGACCAGGCTGGCTTTGAACTCACAGAGATCCCCCTGCCTCTGCCTCCTGAGTGCTGGGATTAAAGATGTGTGCCACCACGCCCAGCTCTTGGAACATTCTTAGCCACTGGTGTCTAGCATCATGTAAAGCATAGCAAGGACATACCGTTCTGCAGAAGGACACACAGCACATGGCACACAGATTTCCTTACACTCTGACTCTTTGGCCAATGTAGATGCAGAGGCACAGTTATCTCTGGCTCTTTCCTCCTTGAACCCAGTGCCTAAATACCACCTGCCACAGAATAACTACTCCCTAAGTATGAATAAAATGGATTAATAAGGTGTATAAGACCTATATGCAATAATGCCCCTCATGGCCCCCTCAGTTAGCAATCTACCAACAATCGAATTATGCGTTTCATAAGGTCAGGGCTGCCCTTGAAATGACTGCCGTGTGGATATGCTTATTTTCATGAACACAAGCTGGGAGGTAGAGACTAAAGATAGCTCTAGCAATCGTGTTGGAAAATGTATACCCAGCGGGCTACATGTGCATCTGAGAACACCCAATGGCAATTCAGATGTCAGCTGTTTATGAGCCTAATCTTTGCTTGTAGGTGTCCTGGCAAACAGTTCCTAATAACAGCCCTGTGGAGAAAAGAATTACCAACTACGTAGGAAGCCTGGCTCCCCGGGAACCTCAGATGCTAGAAACCGAGTGGCTGTTTTACATTCTATGAATCAGAAAGAAAGTGTTGTTTAAGCGGCGGGTCACAGGAATTTAGATATCCGGGGGCTTGTGCTGTAATATTTTTTCCCTTAAGAGGCAAACATAGTAGTATTATTTCATAAAAACAGGCACTAGAGGTTAAAAGTGATTACAGTCTTTTTTTTTTTTAAGATTTATTTATTATGTATACAGAAGAGGGTGCCAGATCTCATTACAGATGGTTGTGAGCCACCATGTGGGTGCTGGGAATTGAACTCAGGACCCCTGGAAGAGCAGCTGGTGCTCTTAACCTCTGAGCCATCTCTCCAGCCCGTGATTACAGTCTTTTACAAACAAATTCCCGAGGTTCTGTTAAGTGACCAAACTTTCCTGGGGAGATGCAATACACACATCTATTCACCCCAGATAGGGATCCCATGGCAGACCAAAGTACAGATACCACCAAAGTTCAATTTGGTGGGCCATGAATTTTACTGGGGTTACCTACAGAAATATGGGTGAGGGGTCACTTACAGGAGCAGAAATGACTCAGAGACAGCTGCATCACAAAGCCCACCCCAGCACGGATGACAGCTCATAAAGTTGGGAACCTAGAGCACACTGCACAGCCTGCAGGCAGCTCAACAGGTTGGAAAATGTCTGTTCCAGGTCCTCGGCTAGTCTAAACCTCTTCCAGACGCCTCGGCTGGTTTCTGCTCCTTCCAGGCAACTGGTCTGGTCTTAAGGGTCTTCCTTGCAGCTGGTCTTGTCTGAGTCTTCCTTACAGCTTTGCTCTCTCGTCTCTGAGGGGGGCTCTCAGTGTTTATTGCTTACTCTATCAGGGAGGGGATCTGGTGAATCTGATCTGTTTCAGGGACTTCCTGAAGCTACTTGAGTTGTTACCTTCCTGTTTAAGGAGTTTCCTGCAGGATGGATGTTTCAGTCTCAGAGCAAACTGTTGGCAAAGCAGATTTCATAGGTCAGGGTCGCCCTTCCATGCTTTGGGGGAAGGTCCATGTTCCTGTATGTGATGGTTGGTCTTGATCATCAGTTTGACTGGGCTTAGAATCACTCAGGAAATTGGTGAGTACGTCTGTGGGCAAATCGGCGTTTCCAGAGAGGATTAACTGAGGGTGGGGAAGGACACTCAGTGTGAGTGGCACCATTTAATGGCCTGGACTGAATGAAAGGAAGAAAGTAGAAAGCCAGGAGCGAGAGGCTGGAGAGATGGTTCAGTGGTTAAGAGTGCTGGCTGCTTCCAGAAGACCCAAGTTCGAGTCTCAGCACCTATGGCAGCTCACAACCCTTTGTAACTCCAAGGGATCCTACACCCATTTCTGACCTCTTTGGATAACAGGCATCCACATGACACATAAACATATACAGGCAAAACACTCACATAGGTAAAATAAATTTTAATTTCCTTTTTAAAGGATGCTATCTTTTTGGGTTTTTTGTTTGTTTGTTTGTTTTGTTTTTCAAGACAGGGTTTCTCAGTGTGGCTTTGGAGCCTGTCCTGGATCTCACTCTGTAGCCCAGGCTGGCCTCCAACTCAGAGATCTGCCTGCCTCTGCCTCCTGAGTGCTGCGATTAAAGGCGTGCACCATCACTGTGCGTCAGGATGCTATGTTATAGCCGATGTCTTGCTCCTCTGGCTCTTACAATCTTTCTACCTTTTCTTCTGCTTTGTTTCCTGAGTCTTAGGGGTAGGGTTGCACTGCAGATGTGTCCATTCAGATGGACACCCACAGTCAGTTCTCTGCATTTTGACCAGCTGTGGGTTTCTGTATTGCTCTCTGTTTTTGTTACTTTTCTATCGCTGTGAGGAGACAGTGTGACTAAGGCCACTGACAAAGAAAGAAATTATTGAGGGCTGGCATACGGTTTCAAAGGGTTAGAGTCCATTGGCCGTCATGGTGGACAGCATGGCAGCAGGCAGGCAGCCATAGTGCCAGAGCAGTAGCTGAGAGCTCACATCTGATCCACAAGCAGGAGGCAGAGAGAGGTAACCGGGGATGGTGTAGATTTTTGAAGCCTTCAAGCGCACCCCCAGTGACACACCTTCAATAACAAAGCCACCCTTCCTCAGTCCTTCCCCAACAGTCCCACCAACTGGTGGCCGAGCTTTCAAATCTGTGAACCTGTGGGGCCGTTCTCATTCAAACCACCACTGTCTCCACATGATATGAAAAGAAGCTTCTTCGGTGATGTGGTTGTTTGAAGGAGTCTGTCCTCCGTAGGCTCGGTATTTGAATGCTTGGTCCCCAGGTGATGTGCTGTTTGGGACCTTTAGGAGGTGCTGGAAGAAGTATGTCCCCAAAGGTGGGCTTCAGCAGGGTTTTTTGTTTGTTTGTTTGTTTGTTTGTCTGGGTTTTTGTGAGATAGGATCTCACTATGTAGTCTTGGCTAGCCTGGAACTCACTGTGTAGACCAGGCTGGCCTCAAACTCATCAGAGATGCACCTGCTTCTGTCTCCAGAGTGCTGGGATTAAAGATGTGAGCCACCTTGCTTGTATTAGGTATGAATTGTGCCTATTGAATCGGCCTTAAATTCAATTAGGTGGATGCTGGTTACCTCAAAGACTTAAGTGCCGTGATTATACCCTTGTGATTGTCTTACGGGCTGGTCATTCTTTACAGCTGGGTAAGACTATTTGCCTTCCTACCTTGGCAGCCTGCATTGCCTTTGGATATGAGAGCCATAGCATACTCTTTGTTTGTTTTGTTTGTTTGTTTGTTTGTTTGTTTTTGTTAGGGTTTCTCTGGGCAGCCCTAGCTGTCCTGGAACTCACTGTGTAGACCAAGCTGGCCTCTAACTCACAGAGATTCGCCTGCCTTTGCCTCTCTAGTGCTGGGATTTAAGGTGTGGGCCACCATCACCCAGCTCCACTGCGTACTCTTACTGACTACCTATCCATGCTTACGTACTTCCTTTAACTCTCTTGGACGCGCTTCCTTTAATTCCCAAAGCTTACGCAAATGCAAATCTTTTGTCTCAGGATCTGTTGTGGGAGGGATTGAAACCCAGACATATTATTTAGTTCACCATTAAAATGTATCCTAGGGCCACATTTAGAGTTTTTCACTTTTGTAAATTTATTACATACGTATATATACAATTTTATGTGTAGGGATGTTTTGCCTGGTTATAGGTCTGTTCAGCACATGCGTGAAGTGTCCACGGAGGCCAGAAGAGGGTGTCAGATTCTTTGGAGTAGAAGTTACAGACAGTTGTGAGCTGCCGTGTGGGTGCTGGGAATCAAATGGGATCCTCTGGAAGACCAGCCAGTTTTCTTCGCCGCTGAGTCGTCTCTTGGCAAATGAACATTTGTTCATTCCTTCCTTCCTTCCCTTCCCTTTCCTTAGCTTACCCTTCTCCCCGACCTTTCCCTTTTCAGAAACAAGGGCTTATGTGCAAATTCTCTTATGCTTAGGGTAACCCTGGATTGCGCAATATAGTTTCTATGTAATCTATTGTCCTAGAGTTCTGTTCTGTGGCTGTCCTTTTTTTTTATTTTAACATTTTCTAACTTGCGTGGTGCACTGTGCCACTTTTGGATGTGAATGATCCTTAATAAGACAGAGGGGACTGGGCAGGAAGACTTATCTGGTGTTTATCTTGACTGATAATTCAGTGTTTACTTTGAGTGAGTCATCCATCACATCTCAGCTGAAGCAGTTCTGGGCACTGACTAATCTATTGATTTTTCCTCTTTTCTCTTTTTCTAGGCTCCCGTGCCTGTCACTGGACCTCCAACATACATTAGCCTCCCAGGAGGTTTTCCAGTACATCAGCTATAATGCTCTTCCTTTCTCTCCCACTTGGTAAGCATATTAAATGTTGACAAGGATGAGGTTGTTATAGGGATAATATATTATTTACAAAAAGGATAAATCATTCTCAGGCTTCAGTATTCAGCCATTAGCATCGAATCACTCATGAGCTGTGTCGTGAGTGATTGAATTTGAGAATTGCTCCTCTCCTTCCAGACTCCTGAATTGCATTAAAAAGTCATTTAATCTCATGGTGTCTTCATTTTCTCACCTGGAAACAGGGATGGCAACGTCTCCTCTGCCTGGCTGAGTTGTGGTGGGAGGCAAATGTGGTGGTAATGAGTGTCAAATCTTTGGGAAGTACAAGGCCTTCCACAAATACAAGGACTGCTGAGGTGGCTGTCTGTTCTAATTTCAGCGCGCCTGTGCTAATAAAGTACCATGACAGAAGAGCAACGTAGGAGACAGGAGTTAATCTCAGCTTGTAGTTCCAGGTTATTCTGCCATCATGGGGGACATCAAGGCAGGACTTTAAGCAGCCAGTCACATTTCCAGCTCTACTTCTCTGCTCTTGGGTCTTCCAGGACACCCTGCCTAGGGGATGGTGCCGCTCACAGTGGGCTGGGTCTTCCCGTATCAGTTCACTTAATGAAGATAATCCCGCAATGGCATACTACAGGCCAAGCCCATGCAGACAATGTCTCTCTTCTCAGGTGATTTTAGGCTGTGTCAGGTTGACAGCTAAAACTACCCTCACACTATCTATTCTATACCAAGAGTCAGCCATAGACTGCTGAGAGTTTTTGGAAGCCACACAAAGATGTACAAAACAGGCCCACAGGTGAATTTGCATGCATTTTCTTTGCAGAACGATTCTTTCTTTGGGATGTTTACAGGTCGAAATCTTACTGGTGTTCCTGGTCATCATGTGGATTCACTCTGTCTGCGCCAAGGTGTATTAGAATCCCACTGTCACAAAGCACGAGAGTCCAATCGGAATCACCTGCAGCGAATGGAGGAAAACCCCTTGCTCATATGAGAAAACCAGAACGTTCTGGTTGAAGGCGGCCATAGACCTGACCAGAAACCTATGGGGCTAGGGAAACACTTGTTGTAAGTACTTACTCCATAGTATAAGCCAAAAGACCTGAGTTTGGATTCCCAGCACAGCACATGACTGTAGCCCCAGTGCTGGGATGTAGCGGAAGTGGGTGGGGATAGACACGTGGATCCCTGGAGCTCGCTGGCCAGCCAGTGCAGCTGAATCTGTGAGTCCCAAGTTCAGGGAGATGCTGTTTCAAAAAAAAAAAAAAATGAGTTGGAAAGCAACTGAGGAAAACACCTGCTGTTGACCTCTCCCCTTCAAACTCACATGCACACACGTGCGTATGTACTTACATGAAGATGTACACACGTATATACCACATGAGCAAAATGAGGAGGAGAAGGATGAGGAGTGGGGGAGGGGAGAAGGAGCTCAGCGCTCCAGACTCGAATACTGTTTGGAAAAGTCTAATGGATGAGAACCAATTGCCAAAGGTGGATGATGCTGTGAGACCACGGGGAGACACGGGACAATGGTGTTTGTGCAATCTGTTGGGGGCAGTGTTTGGGGAAGCAGGAGGATGTTTTCTGCACACTAAAGCATGACGTAGAGGCTTTATGTGCTGAGTTAGATAAAAATGGGCTGCTGCCAGGTTGGGAATTTAGCTCATTGGTAGAGCGCTTGCCTAGCAAGCGCAAGGCTCTGGGTTCAGTCCTCAGCTCCCAAAAAAATGGGCTACTGCCAACCAGAATGTCCTTGGACTTTCTCAGAAACAAACTGACCTATTCAATGTCAGGGCTTCAATGGCCAGCACAAGATGCTTCGCTGACCTTGGTTGTCCTATGTGGCTTGGGATAGTATGCTAGTATCACCTACCTTGGGTTATATCCAAGATGGCTGTCGCCATGTTGAGCTGGGTTCCCACAAACATCACAGAGATTCTCTTCCCCATATTGCTCACTGTTCCTTAGGTGGGAGCATGTGTGCTGGACAGGGGTCACATCCTTGTGTCCCTGAAACCAGAGAAGGAGAATCCTTTTGCCTGCTTCACCCGCTTAGGTTAATTAAGATCCCCGGGAAAGCGCTAGTCAATATGGGCTGTTAGGGCAAAATGTCTTCGATTGGGCTGTTGTGATGGCTCTGTGGATAAAGGCACCAAACCTGGCCACCTGAGCTCGATCCCCAAGACCCACATGGCTGAAGGAGAGAGCAACCACGTTCTGAAAGTTGCCTTGGTATGGGCACCCACCCACCCGCTGTAACTTAAAAAATCAAACACCTTAGACTGCAATTAAGGAACAACAGAATTTATTGATCCGGGTTCCGCAGATTTAGAAATACAAGGTCAGCCGGGCGGTGGTGGCGCACGCCTTTAATCCCAGCACTTGGGAGGCAGAGCCAGGCGGATCTCTGTGAGTTCGAGGCCAGCCTGGTCTACCAAGTGAGCTCCAGGAAAGGCGCAAAGCTACACAGAGAAACCCTGTCTCGAAAAACCTAAAAAAAAAAAAAAAAAAAAGAAATACAAGGTCAAGTGCCTGCAGATCTGATGAGCAGGTGTTGCTCAGGAATGGTGGCATCTGTGTTTTCATAGAGCAGACAGACGGAGGAGCCCCTAAAGATCTCTTTTATAAGGGCACAAGCCTATTCAGGAGGGCTCCATCTTCAGGACATAATTGCCCTCTCAGTGACCCCCTTCTCCTGATACCATCCATTTGATTAGCTTGGACCAGTCACTGCAGTCTGGGGAGTGATGTGCAGACGAAGCTAGATAGGCCAATGGCCACTGTCTAGTTAGACCAGTTATTTGTGAGCTCTCTCATGCATCCGGCTGTTTCAGACATTGCAGGGAGCTGGCAGCCACTGAATCTGTGTCTATCACTCCGGGAAAATACAGCCTTATACCCTGTCAAACCCTTATTCCTAATGAATCTATTACACTTTCGAGGCTATAAATAATAGATCCGTTCCCTTCCTTCCAATGCAAATATTTTGAATATTTTAATGATTGCTTTCCAAAGCCTACTTTTGAAATCACCCTCCTAAGGTTTGTGCCAACGTATACTCCCACAAACAGATGGCGGTGGGCACTCTTGAAGCATAAACTGTCATTGATCTATACTGGTGGCTCTCGGCTGGGGGTGATTTTGCTGCCCCTTCTCTCCCAGGATGCTGGGGCACTGCCTGAGACATCTTCAATCATCACAGGTGAGGCAATACTGATTTTTCTGGTCATGGCAGGATGGAAGGCTGCTGGGAACCACTCAATGTATAGAACAGGTCCCCTCAACAAAGAATTACCTGGCCCCAGAGGTTGAGAAGCCCTGGCTTACATAGACAAATATACTCCACTTTTAAAGATTATATATATCTATGTTTTTCAAGACAGGGTTTATCCGTGTAGTCTTGGTGCCTGTCCTGGAGCTCGCTCTGTAGCCCAGGCTGGCCTCGAACTCACAGAGATCCGCCGGCCTCTGCCTCCCAAGTGCTGGGATTAAAGGTGGGCGCCACCACCGCCAGGCACTTTATATTTTTTAATTGCATGTGTGTACGTGGACAATGTGCATAGGTGTGCACAGGTAGCTGCGGATTCCAGAGGATGGTCTTGGTTCCCATGGAGCTGGAGTTACAGGTGGTTGTGAGCCACCCAGTGTGGGTGCCGGGAACCACACTCGGGTCGTCTGCAAGAGCAACAAGAGTTCTTAACTGCTGAGCCATCTCTCCAGCCTGTGTGGTCCATATGACTAGACTACAAATTAGTCCAGGCAAGAAGATTGGCTCTGACGTGGTGTGTTGCCAAACGCATGCATACTGGGTTGGCCCTGAATCCTGAAGTGCACTTGAGGTCCTGTTTCCCCTGGTAGGGGGATGATAGCAAACAAACACAACAGATGGAGGTTTCCAAGGTGACCAGCTGAATTGCTTCCAAAAAATCTCTTCCAAGCCCTGGTTGACACTTAATGTTAAAGAGAGTGGTCACTGCATTTCAGAAAAAAAAAAAGAAGAAGAAGAAGAAGGTATGGTTCCAGTGGGGGACTCACCAATGTTTAGTTTATTTCTATTTTGACTATGTATCGGTCAGGGTTCTTTAAAGGAACAGAACTGACAGAATGCATATATACATTAAGAGAGGATTTACTAGGATGTGGTTCAGGCAGTCCCACAATGGCCGCCTCCAGATGGCAGGCTGAGAATCTGGTAGTGGTTCAGTCCACGAGGCTGGATGGCCCAGCACCGGTAATCTGGCCATGGAGTCTTGGGGCATTCCTACTTCCGCTAGTCTCCAGTGTATGCTGGCATCCTGGAGAAGTGGGGTATGACACCAATGAAGGAATGCTGCAGCAGCCGGATAGATGAGCGTGCCAACAAGAGTGAGGACAAACAGGCAAAGAGCAAAGCTTTCCTCTCCCATGAAGGCTGCTGCCACCAGAAGGTGCACGCTTAGGGTGGTCTTCTCACTTCAAATAATCTGATCAATAATGCCTCCCAGAAGTGCTCAGCACCTTGTGCTTCTGTTGACTCCAGATGCAGGTCAATCGACAACCAAGACTGATCCTCACACTGACACTTAAAGAAAAATGGTTACATAATATGAAGAAATTTAATGCCTGGCAGAATACAAAAAAAAATCACTATTAACAAGGTCTGTGTCTTAGGATTGCTATTGCTGTGATGAAACACCATGACCAATAACAACTTTGGGAGGAAAGGGTTTGTTTCACCTACACTTCTGCATCATAGTCCATCACTGAAGGAAGTCAGGACAGAAACCCACACAGGGCAGGAACCTGGAGGCTGCTGCAGAGGTCATGGAGGAGTGCTGCTTACTGGCTTGTTCAGCCTGTTTTCTTATAGAACCCAGGACCCCAGCCCAGGGGAGGCCACATCCACAATAGGCTTGGCCCTCCGCGTCAATCACTAATTAAGAAAATGCCTTGCAGAAGAGTTTTCTCAATCGAGGTTTCCTCTTCTCAGAAGACTCTAGCTGTAGCTAGCACAGTCCGGATTTATAATTTAGCTTTTAGTTTCCTAACTTGGCAAATTTCTCCACACATTCACCATCAACCACAAAGCGGGGCTCTGTAGTACTTACTTTTCTCCTTGCTGTGTGAAAACACCTGTCCTAGTTTGGGACTCTGTGGCTGTGATAAAACACCAGGACCAAAAGAGTTTATTTTTGCTTATGGTTCCACCAGCCTGGTCTCCAAAGCGAGTTCCAGGAAAGGCGCAATGCTTATGGTTCCAGAAAGCTAGAGTCCATCATGGGGAGTCAGGGGATGGGGTGGGTGGCTGTGGGTGGTAGCAAAAACAGGAAGCTGGCTGATCACATCCCCCCTATGCCCTCTTTCTCAGCTGTCCTGGAGCTTGATATGTAGGCCAGGCTGTCCTCAAATTCAGAGATCCATCTGCCTCTGTCTCTGCCTCCAAGTGCTTGGATTAAAGGTGTGTGCCACCACCATGACCAGCTAATCACATTTCCCCAACACACAGAAAGCAGAGATAGACAGACAGACGACAGACAGAGGTGAAAGAACAGGAAAAGTCCCACATTCAGTGACACACTTCCACCAGCAAGGGTGTAGTTGAACTTTTCTTTGGGCCACCAACCAGCTCCCGAATAAAGACACACTTATTAATTATGAATGCCAGGCCTTAGCTTAGGCTTGTCCCACTAGCTCTTTTAACTTATTTTAACCTCTTTCTCTTCATCTATGTTTTGCCTCAGGGCTTTTTACCTTTCTTTCATCCTGTATGTCCTACTTTCCTGCTTCCTCCATGTCTGTCTGGCCCCTGGTATCTTCCTGGAGTCTCTTTTTCTTTCTCCTCCCCCTCCCCCACCCCCCCCACCCCCGAGCCTAAATTCCTCCTCCTCCTTATTCTCCCTGCCCATAAATCCTGCCTATACCTTGTCTCTTGCTATTGACCATTCATCTTTTTATTAGGCTAGTCAGGTGCCTTAGGCAGGCAAGATAAAAGAGTAACACATCTTTACATAATTAAACAAATGCAATATACCTTTACATAGTTAAACAAATATTCCGCAACACAAGAGTCTACCTCCTAAAGGTTCCATAACCCTTCCTCAGCAAGTGCCACCAACAGAGGATGAGGTGTTCAAATGCACAAGCCTGTGGGGGACATCTGTTATTCAAACTATCATAGTAACTTGTGGGAGGTCAGCTCCCACTTTTTTTTTTTTTTAAATGACAGGGAACTCTCGAGGAGAGAGGAATAAGAGCATTAGGTAGAAATATAGAGGTAGAAGTAAGGTAGAGGTGAGAGAAACAGATAGGAGAGAAACAGAAACACAGGATAGCCTTGGGAGGGCCTGGATCCTTATCCACTGCCCCCTCCTGTCTCGTCTAAAGGGCTATTTAAAGGAACGCCAAAGGGTGGCGCAAAAGACCTCCCCCCCAGCACAGCCAAGTGCAGACCCTTCCAGTCACCTAGTAACCACACACGTGGTCAAACCATCCTCTAATGCAACCCTGCCTGCTGGGTAAAGCAAGCTCAGATCTCACTAGGAAACCTCTGTGGGCCTCCACAGTCACTGACAGAAAGCAACAGAAAGACAGGTCGGGCCAGAAACATGGCTTTTCAGACCCTACTGTTCTCTCAGAGGGTCTGAGTTCTGTTCCCAGCACCCATGACAGGTAGCTCGACACCTCTTGGGACCTCCACTCCAGGGAGATCTGACGCTTCTATCCTCGGCAAGCATGCCCACACGTTGTGCACATCTATACACAGACACACACAGAGTTCACCAAAATAATAATAAAATATTTTTTAAAGGACGTATTTTGGCTCATGGTTTGATGGGATACAGTCAATGAGAAAGCACGGCGGTAGGAGAATGAGGTACCTCGTCACATTGCAGCTGCTATTAGGAACCGGAGAGGAACGGGTGCTGGTGTTACACTCAAATCTCTCCCCTTTCCATGTCGAGCTTAGTGTGGGATCTCAGTCCATGGGATGGGCCTGCCCACAGTCGGGATAGGTCTTCGCTCATCAGTTAAAACTCTTTGGAATGCCCTCATAGACATGCCCAGGGGGTGTCCACAGACAATTCTAAATCCAGCCAAGATCACAAGGAAGACGACTTCTCGTTGGTGCCAAATGCTTCTGCTTGTTCCGTGTCTGAGACAGGCTCTCACACACTAGCTAGCTCCGGCTGACCTCGAACTCACGGCAGTTCTCCTGCCTCAGCCTCCTGAGTGCTGAGATTACAGATGTGAACGGCCACATCTGGCTCTTCAAAAGTAGCATAGTGAAGAGATAAAAAGCTGGGATCGATTGAGGTTGGAGAGCTCAGTGGTTAAGGGCACTTCCTGCTCTTCCAGAGGACCTGAGTTCTGTTCCTAGTACCCACATCAGGTGGCTCACAACCCCACCTCGGACTCTAGATCCAGGGGATCCAAGGCTCTCTTCTGCTCTCTGAGGGCACACACACACACACACACACACACACACACACACACACACACACCACAAAGAGGCTCTTTAAAAAATTAGCAGGGACTGTCACCTGGATTCAGATTATGATTCACGTTCTTGCTATGCGTGGTGTGACTTTGGGCAAAGTCTTGTAGATAACAGTGCAGTGTAGTTACTGCGTAAGAACGTAGAGGGTGGGGGGGGGGATAGCCTAGGTACCATCCCCAGCCCTGGGGCAGGAGGGGGAGTTAGAATGGGGCCTGGAACCTAACAACTGCTTTATAAACATTAACAACATTGTTTTGGCTTCTCTTCCACGTTATGGAGAGCCCGCTCTACTGGCTAGTCTACGTCAGCTTGACACAAGGGTGGTAGCTTGAATGAAAATGGCCACCCTAAGCTCATGGGGAGTGGCACTGTTAGGAGGTGTGGCCTTGTTGGAGGAAGTGCGTATCTGGAGGCGGACTTTGAGGTTTAAGGTTTAGACGCTTGAGGCTGAGTGTCGCTCTCTCTTCCAGCTGCTTTCAGATCCAGATGTAGAGCCCTCAGCTCCTACTCCAGCACCACGTCTGCTTGCACGCCATGTCATCAAAGAAAAGGGAGTCTCAATGGAGAAAATGCCTCCATAAGACCAAGCTGTAAGGCATTTTCTCGATTGTTGATTGATGGGGGAGGGCCCAGAGCATTGTGGGTGAGGCCATCCCTGGGCTGGTGGTTCTGGGTTCTATAAGAAAGCAGGCTGAGAAGTCACAAGGAGCAAGCTAGTAAGCAGCACCCCTCCATGGCCTCTGCATCAGCTCCTGCCTCCAGGTTCCTGCCCTGTGTGAGTTCCTGCCCTGACTTCCTTTGATGATGAACAGTGATAGGAAGTGTGAGCCAAAGAAACCCTTTCCTCTTCAACTTGCTTTGGGCCGTGGTGTGTCATCACAGCAACGGTAACCCTGAGTAAGACACCTG